ACACACGCAGATATATATATATATATATATATATATATGTATATATATATATATATATATATATATATATATATATATATATATATATATATATGTATATATAATCATCAGCCTGACTACGTCCACTGCAGGACAAAAGTCTCTCTCATGTTCCGCCAAATAACCCGGTCCTGCGCTTGCTGGTGCCAATATATATATATATAATGTAACGAAGAGCGGCGCGGCAGCTGTGGGCCATGGGCTGGAAAGCGAGGAAAAAGAGGCAGAATAGAACAGCTTGCCCAACGAACGGGTGTTGTGTCTGTCTCGCTCATTACAATGGCGCAGCCGACAGGCTTTACTGACTTTACTGACTTTCCTGACTTTACCGGCGTCGATCAAGACCCAACCGTCTGGCTGGATGAAATCCATTAGTTGGCCCGTCGACATGCATGGACTGACGACGTGACGCTATCGCTAGCCGTGAGCCGACTGCGCGAGTCCGCCAAAACGTGGCAACAATACGATGGCTGCAAGTAAAAATCCTGGAGTGACTGGACTACAGCCTTCGTCACGGCCTTCCCACCACTTCCATCCGCATACGACGACCATTTCATGCGCATGCGATCGCGTCGGCAGGCTCCATTGGAAGACGCCCGTAAATACGTCTACGATAAGCTCGGGCTTCTCGACAAATGTGGCATTACATGGATCTCTCCGGCTGCCCGCCAGTATGTCGTTGATGGCTTGGCTGACCCTACCCATGCTGCCATCTTATCTTGCCAGTCACCTGAAGCGTCACCCCAGGTTTTCGCTCAAAGGGCAGCCGAACTTCAGCAAAACTCTCGTTGTCGGCCTAGCTTGGACACATTACCGACTGTCCGTTCGACTTACGCCTCCACACGACACGGATGCTTCAAGTGCGGTCGCACTGGCCACAACGCCAAGGAGTGTCGTCAACCTTTCCAGACCCGAATCCACCACCAAGCTTGTCAAACTTCTCGGATGTCCATTAATGTTGAGGGAATAGGTGACCTATCTGCTCTGGTGGATACCGGTGCCGAACGAACGGCGCTACACCGACGTCATGCTCCGGACACTATCCGACCGTGGACGCAACCTCCCCTCTGCGGACTTGGAGGAAGTGCTAATGCCAGTCGGAATGCTCGACATTTTAGTCCGGACGGCAGCGGGCACCAAAGTTCTTCTAGCCATTACCGTCTTTGAAGACCTCCCTGCCGACATGATCCTTTGATCCTTGGTGCTGACTTCGTACTATCTGATGACATTGAGCTCACCATACATCGCGGCCACGTCGAGCTCCGGTCTTCGACAGCTGAGACTACCGCCACAACCATGCCACCACCGACAGTTGAGCCGTCCACTCCACCTACCTTATCTTCTATATTGCTCGCCATCAACCAGTATTCGCTAGCAATACAGCAGAACTGCCAGGCACTAATTTGCTACTCCATCGCATACCAACGGGAGATAATCCGCCAATATGCGTACTACTGCGACGATACGCTGAACGAGAACGGGCAGTGATCGCAGAACAAGTAGATGAAATGCTTTCCGCGGGCATTATTAGGCCGTCATCGAGTCCTTGGGCAGCGCCAGTCGTTTTTGTTCGCAAGAAAAACGGATCACTACGCTTCTGCGTGGACTACAGGCAGCTCAATAAGTGTACAATGCCTGACTTCTACCCTTTACCCGCATTGATGACGCTGTTGATACAGTACGCCACTGCAAGTTCTTTTCATCGCTTGATTTACGCGCAGGGTACTGGTAGATTAACGTCGCGGATGAAGATCGATGTAAAACGGCCTTTCGCACACCTTTCGGTTTGTATGAATTCAACCACATGCCGCTTGGAATAAGAACGGCTCCTAGCACTTTTCAACGTGCGATGAATTCAGTGCTCGGACCATTGAAAAACCAAGCCTGTATGGTGTACTTAGACAACATCCTGGTCGTTGGCAGGAGAGAGGATGAACACCTTCGCAATTTGGACGAAGTACTACACAGATTCTATGCAGCAGTGTTTCGTTTGAACAAAGAGAAATGCCAGTTTTGGCTGTCCAAGATTTCGCACCTGGGACATAATATATCTCCTGTCGGCATTCAGCCACTCCCGGAGCGAATAGCTGCCGTGTCGCAGTATCCCACACCAACCTGCTTGAAGCAGGTTCAGTCATTTCTGGGTATGGCGTCGTATTTGCGAAGGTTTATTCCCCACTTCGCTTCGATCGCAGCTCCGTTGAGCGGACTTCTTAAAAAAGACGCGCGGTTTGAATGGGGCGTCTCACAAGAAAATGTTTTTTGAGCTATAAAACAAAAGCTCACTTGTTGCCCCATACGAAGTCACTTCAATGAAGACTGGTCCACTGAAGTGCACACTGATGCCAGCCAAGTCGGCCTAGGAGCTGTGTTAGCGCAGCGTGATCCAGATGGCGTGGAACACGTGGTCGCTTATGCCAGCCGAAAACTTTAAGACCGCGAGCGCCCCTATCAATCACTCCAACGAGCTTGAATGTCTTGCAGTGGTATGGAGCGTCGATGATAAGTTTCGACATTATCTTTTCGGGCGTAAATTCACTGTTGTGACTCATAATGCTGCTATAGCATGGATGTTCTCCAAGCAGCAACTTAAGCACAAATTCGCCCGGTGGATAATCACACTGCAAGAATACGATTTTGACCTGCGCCACCGCGCCGGGGGGCTAAAAAACGTCGCCAATGCACTCTCACGGAACCCCCTTGAATGCGCGCAACAAACCAGGCAAACCCACATTTTTTTCGCCCAGATGGATATATCCCGAGCCCAACAGGAGGATAAAGATTTGGCATCCATTATTGCATCTATCACTGACAAGAGAAATGAGAGAGACACAGTACTTTTGTGATGCGCAATGCCGCATTGTACCGGCGTCACTGGCGAGTAAACCGATCCGAAGAACGTTACCTCCTGGTGATCCCGAAATACCACAGGTCAGAAATATTACGAGCCATTCACGACTCCCCAGAAGGCGGACACACCGGCCAACGAGCCACACTCCGGAAACTACAAGAACGTTTTTGGGCACCGAAGATTCAAAGTAGCGTCCGTTCTTATGTCGCCAGTTGCAAAATTTGCCAGCAGTTTAAGCGACTGCATGGGTGTCAACCTGGATTACTAACACCCATCCAGATACCTGAAACAACTTTCCACACGATTGGCATTGATTACATGGGACCTCTACCCACCACCACTGCGGGAAATCGTTACGTCATTGTAGCAGTAGACTACTTGTCAAAATACGTGGAAGTGGAGGCCATGCCATCTCTTGCATCCACTTACCTAATCGACTTCCTCAAGCACCGATTTGAATGGAGACGTGGCTTACCAAAAAAGTTAATGTCTGATCGGGCTACAACGTTTCGTAGCGGGGAACTGAAAAAAAGTACCTTTGCACAGCAGGCGTGCAGCACCACTTCGCATCCGCGTTTCATCCTCAAGCAAACGGCCTTACTGAGAGAACCAACCAGGGCATCCAGGCACGACTCGCGCCATATACGAAGGCAGGAAAAAGAGGAGAGGCCGATTGGGACGTCCACCTTCCGTCAGCCGCTTTTGCGATTAACACGGCACTGCAGACATCTACCGGCGAAACGCCCTACGAAATTGTTTATGGGAAACTACCACAGCTGAAAGCGGTCCTCAGTCTGGATGCTCCCACTATAATTTCACGTGCCAACGATCGCAAAGCGGCCTGTCAGAAGATCCGAACTGAGGCGATCAAGAAAGCCACCCACGCACAAGAAAATCAAAAGCACCACTATGACAGACGCCGTAGACCCGCTCCTGCTTACAACATCGGTGACGAGGTCTGGGTGCAAAGGGGCACCGGCGGGCCTGGCAAGAAGCTACTCCCTAAGTTCGACGGGCCATTCATAATTACTCAGCGTGTAGGAGAAAATACCTGGCGTGTGAACACCTCAGATGCGAGCTTCACTCTCGATAAACTGAAAAGAAACAACTTTGCCGTGCATGTGTCGCGCTTGAAAAAAGCAGTCGGACCGCTGCACGTGCAATCAAGTGTGATTTCTTTTTTTTTTTCGTTTTGAGGTCCGCAGTGTGGCTATAGTGTTCTGGAATAACGGGTAGTGAGCCCACTCTACGGGGAGAGGGTACGTTGCCGTGGCGCAAAAAATGTCAACGAGTTTTCGCTTTCTTGAGTGCCCGCGTGGCGGCGCTACCATCGTCAGCTATGGGAGTTTTCACCTTTTCACTCCGCTTCTGTGTTGGCTGTTTGTCGTCGTCGCTGCAGGTTTACGGCCGAGCAGTGCTTTGTCAATACGTTCCATTTTTCAGTTCTTATAGTTGTGAATAATGTAGATTGGTAGTGAACACCTCGCGGTCAGTCGACACTTAGTGCGGAATGGCACCACGTCGCCAGAACCATTGTTATGCGCCCGGATGCCAGACGGGCTACGTTCACGTGAAAGGTGCTGCAAAACCGTCACTGTTCGTCGTCCCCAGGGATGAGAGACTCAGAAGAGTGTGGGAGAAAAATTTACACCGTGCTGATAAGCCACTCGAAGGCACAAGTGCGGTTTGTGAACTGCACTTCGAGCCTCGGTACGTAATTCGCGATTATGTACACACCATCGGCGGTAAAAAAGTGCGGATCCCACGCGGGAGGCGTATGTTGAGCAGTGACGCTGTTCCCACTATTTTGCCAAATTTGCTATCATATCTCACCAAAAAAGCAGTGAAAGAAAGGCCGCCTCGAAAAAGGAAATCTGAGAGTCATGCTTCGCCAGTGAAGCGCCGGCTGTGCACGAGTGGCAACTCGACGGTGTTGCACACAAACGCCGTAAATACTCCGGATCCAGACGCTGCAGCATCGAGGCCAGAAGACGAACAGCTGGCCATCGATGTAGAAGTTTCTTCTTCAGAAAATCCGCAGGAAGACCACAAGTCTATGTCGTTATTTAGCTGTCTTGAGGTACCATCGCCGCACTGGACTACGCACATCTTTCCAGATCACAAAGGCATTGTGTACTGCACGTCCGTGTTGACACCGAAGAATGAAGTACGATCGGAAAAAGTGGTCATGTTTTTTGAGTCACGCATTGCGAGCTACTGCAAAGTGTTCATCAGAGGTACCCTGTTGAAAGAAGGCACCGTGGAAAGCAAAGTGTTCATCAGAGGTACCCTGTTGAAAGAAGGCACCGTGGAAACAGAGGCAGCAGCAGAAGAAGTGCTGAAAACAAGTGATCGTATGTGCATTTGAGTTGGAGCAATATCTCACGAAGACTATAAAGAACGATTTTTTACGAAGAAGCTAAGGGACTATGTGGTTACATGCAACGAAATGTACTTCAGCATTGTGTTTTGGCCAGGTTGATAAAAAAAGGGGTTTATAATGTGCATTTTTACTAGTATGACAGCTATAACTCTTGTCGCTACGAAAGATTTCTTGCCAGTTATTGCAACCTAATTTACTGCACCTTTCTTTCAGGTGCACAATGTGTGTCTTGCCGCTATTTGAAACGAGCACTGCAAATCTGATGAGCCCGGGTGAAGCGAACGGCAACAAGGAATTGCCAAAATGCAGCGCTGAAGTTGCGTGTTGTGGCCAGAAGAAACACTAGATTGTTTTCTCGCTTGAAAAGTGTGAAAAAGAAGCTTGAACAAATGCAAATTAGGAATGCTGCTATAAAAACAGAAACTTTAGAAGCACAGATTGCAAGGCTTTCACCAAGACCGCAGGAAGCTGTACGACAGTGCTTTGCAGCTTCAAGAGTAAAACCCAATGGGTTGCGCTATACGAAAAGCTGGATTTTAGATTGTTTAATCATGAAGATGAAGCGCCCTCGCCTGTATGAACACCTTCGTCGCAATAACATCCTAGCCCTTCCATGTAAATCAACCCTGAAGCGCTATGTACATGCATACCGCACTGTGTTTGGCTTTAGTGAGAGAGTTCTAAAGCAGCTAAAGGAAAAGACAGCGGAGCTTGATGTTTGGAAGAAACACGGTGGATTGGTCATCGACGAACTGAAACTGTCAGAACATTTTTCAGTGAAGAAGTCAGGTGCAATTGAGGGTTTTGTGGATTTAGGTCCATTTACAACTTCCAAGGACAAAGGTGTACCATGTGACCACGGTATGGTTATCCTTTTCGTCCCATTTCAAGGCAAATGAAGTCAAGTTATTGGTTACTTTGCTCCACATGGAAATATGAAAGGTGACACACTCGCCAAAGTTGTCATTGAAGCAACCATACTAGCTGAAAAGAGTGGGCTCTTTCTGGATTTTATTACTTGCGATGGTGCAAGTTGGAATAGAAATATGTGGAAAGTACTTGGGATCCAAGCGACAGCTGACTCTACTACTTCGAAAATTGAACACCCCAGTGATGCATCACTGCACCTATATTTTATATCTGACTTCCCACATCTCATCAAATGCCTACGGAACTCGCTGCTGAAGTCTGGATTCAACACCCCTACAGGTCATGTAAGTCTGATGTTTTTTGCGCATATCACACATTGGATTTCATATATTCTTACATTATCTCCAAGCTTAACCAGGTGTATTTCAATATGGTCCACTTAATTTCATTGCAGGTTGATATGCGACATGTAAGGGAAGCTCACAAAATAGACTTCTCCAACGTGACCTTTAAAGTGATGCCGGGCATAACACGGTGTCACCTGGATCCTAATGGATTTGAGAAGATGAGGGTCAGCTATGCCTTCCAGCTTTTTGGGACAAAAGTCCTCCAAGCTTTCCACCTATACAAAGACAAGTTGGAAGCAACACTTGGAAGGATGGATGTAACACAAGAGTTCTTCAGGTGAGTCGTCTCTTGCCATATGCTGGTTAAAATTAGGTAGTGAAATGTCTGATATAACCAACTTGTAAATGAAAATTATATCTTAATAAAATGCATCATTAGCACCGACATTAGACGAGTAGGTTTTGGTTCATAGTTATGAACGGCGCAAAACACACGAGACACAAAATGACGTCCTTGTGTTTTTCGTCATTTTGTGTCTCGTGTGTTTTGCGCCGTTCATAACTATGCAATGTTCATGCAATGTAAACTACAAAATTATGAAAACAGCTGTTTTGCATATTTCAGCAAAATCCACCAGCTCACAAGAGTGATGACATCGCGGTTCCCTGCTGAAGCCCTCAGACCGTGTTCATCAGGAACAGCAGTGCTGCAGGATTTTCTGTCCTACCTCAAAGCATGGGAGCAGCATACGAAAGGCGGAGGAGGCTTTCTGAGCAATTCCACTGCTGCTGGCCTACGTGTGACCATTTCGAGTACACTAGAGTTGCTTGACTCACTGAAAATGTTGGCTTTAAATACCTAATGACTCAAAAACTAGCCTGGATCCTTTGGAAAACCTTTTCGGTATTATCAGGCAATCTTCTGGCAGTAATGATCATCCAACACCAACTCAGTTTTTGATTACAGTAAACTGCATGTCATTCTATGGTTTAGTTAAAGGTGTCAGTCAAGGAAACTGCGAAGAGGGCATGCTAGGTTCCCTTTTGGAAGTTAGTAGCCCACGAGACACATCGCAAAATGCAGCAGGCATGGATTTGGCACCGAGCTCTTCTCCGAATGCGCAGGCGTTGGTTATACCTTCCCAGGATCACAGCCAGCATGTTGCGAGGAGCGACTCGAGAATTATATTTTACATTGCTGGCTACGTGGCACGAAAGTGCATTTTGAAAAGCAATTGTAAAGATTGTTTGATACTACTTACCGCGCCTGCCCCAGACGAAAGCTTTCAGCTTGCAAGGTTGACACTATTTCGTGACAACGGTGGACTCCTCTTCCCAAGTGCTTGCCTATTTCGGTTCATAAAGAAGCTTGAAGACTTGTTCACGGGCTGCTTTTCTTGTGAAAAACTCCATGCAGACAGCATTTTAGATGTGCTGACCATTTTGAAAGCAAGGCTTTGGCAAAGAGGTTGGGTGCCCAAGCCATGTCTCAATGCTCTCTAAAAAATAATACAATTCTATGTTGTTACACGACTTCAATTTTACATTAAGGGGCTAAATACAGACAGAGCAGGCAAACGCCAGAAAGCAAAGTACTTAAAGATAAGCCGCTGTTGTGGCAATATTTAGAGATTTTGCTTTAGAAGATTTTAAAAAATTTAATATTGTTCCTGTGTGGATTTCACAAGTGTAGGTTAAACTTGATGTATGAATCCTTTCTGAATATTCTTTTTCTGTTTCACTGACCCAAATACAAAAGATTGCCAGATTTGAAAAACAAGCAAAATAGTATGTTGCCACTCGCCACGCATACTATAGCAATAAACCCTTGACTAAGTGGCAACTCTGCTTAATTCAATTGTGAATGGTGACTTTGGTCCTTGGCGTACCATCAACAGTGCGATTAATATGATCTACGAGAAGATCTGTAGATCTCTATAAAAATGCATGTTATTTGAATGGAAATGTGTCTGTTATTTGTCATTTTCAGTATTTCTTCTGATTCAGTGTCTTTACTTATTGTGTGAACAATATGTGTTGAGTGTTCATGTGTTTTTGTGAACTTTTTTATGCCAAGTGTGCTATTGAAAATATTTAGCATCTCTTTGTGATTATTTGTAGTTGTGAATATTTTTCTAGCATCTATTGGGCTGTTTTAGGAGACATGCTCTTTGTCGCACACGCTGATAAGTACATAATGGGGCAAGGCCCTCTTCAAGCTATTTCAGCTTTTTCCATCTGCTTTCACTTTGAGAAAAAAAAATGAAAGTGATTGATATGCATGGCTTTTGTGGAGTACGGTCATTGTGCTGCCCCACCAAATAAACTTTTAACTTATTCCTGTGAACGGTTGTTGTCTATATTTTTTTCCACACCTTCATTACAAATATTTCTTGGGCATGATTAGGATAGGTCTTTCCTTCTGTGCACTACCACACATTTTCTTGCACTTTTCAGGAGAATATATCAGCTGAGAGCGCGTAAGGTGCTTAAGTTTGTAGTAATATTGTTTTATTTAGCGAGAGTACGACTTCACTAAAGTTACTATTGAGTACAAACGCTAGCATATTGGTGGAGAAATGTATGCCACTCTGCGACTTATTAGTGATCATGAAAACATTAGTCTCTTTTATCTAAAGGCAATCAATGTCAGTGCACGTTAAAATTTCCGGAGTCCTCCACTACGGCGTGCTTCATAAGCAGAAAGTGGCTTCATAAATCAATTATCTAAAGGCAATAAAACTGCGAGAGCGCAATACAAAACTGGTTGTTTACAGCGTATATTGCATCCCGCTGATGACGCGCTCGTGTTTAGCGATACTTCATGCGCCAGAACGACGGCCAAAGCAAGAATATGCTCAGGAAAAAGAAGAAAAGCAACGAAAATGGCTATGAACAGGGGTTGCACAAGAGTAGTTTGTGCTTGAAGCACCGGCAAACTAACCTTCGCGCTGCATTGGCCGAGAGCAGCAACGCGTCGCTTCCATTGCAGGTGGTGGTGGCGCCATCTACCAGGTGAGACAAAAAGTGCGTCAGTGCACGGCCTCCAGTCAGCCCACTACCCCTTTCTAGAACACTTTAGTGTGGCCGAATGTAATGAAGAGCGGCGCGGCAGCTGTGGGCCATGGGCTGGAAATCGAGGAAGAGGCAGAATAGAACAGCTTGCCCGACGAACGGGTGTTGTGTCTGTCTCGCTCATTACAATATATATATATATATATATATATATATATATATATATATATATATATATATATATATATATATATATATATATATATAGCATGTGTCTTCAAAACGAAGCGCTTACACACACTACTTCTTCGTTTTCTTTTCCCTTTTCGGATGTCTAGGGCTTGCCGGCTCACAACTCTAGGTGGCATTAGTCCCCCTCCTTTCGGAGTTGCCGAAGAGACAGCACCAACGCCGACGCATAGGGGTACCGACTGTGGACGAGAGGTGGCGCAAGTTCTGGCGCCCGCTTATCATGTGAGCCAAGCGAAACCACATGGGAAGCACACGAAAGGATCGTCACAGCGTAGATGAGATCGGTGACAGTCAAAGTCCGGTGACATCGTAGGTGAGCCGCGCTCGATTTCGCCACACCTGAAAGCGAGGCATGAGCAGGTGGGGACACTGCAGCGACCAATCTCGCAGCCCACGGACACAGAGGTGTGAGTGAGTGCGACTATCAACGATAGGTGGCGCCGGCGATATGGCGGTGGCTACACGAGTGTGTT